TTTCCTACATACAGCTCTACCCAGTTTGTTTCCTTCTTTAATAACTAGGACATATAAGAAGGGTAACTTATTGTCCTTTTCAAACTCCATAGTGAACTTAGTTGTCTTATCTAATCTATTAATTAATCCAAAGAAGTTGTCATGCCGCCAGATAGCAAAGTAATCATGCATATATCTGACCACTAGTTTCGGAACTAGGAGTTATTCTTGAAAAAGCCGGGCTTCCAACTGAGCCGTGTAGTTGTTAGCTAAAGCTGGAGACAAACACGATCCAATAGCTAAAACTCTGGTTTGCTCGCACAATTTAACATTAAAGATAAAATATGTGCTATTCACGGATATAATCTTTGGGCGTAGATTTAGGGTTAATCCTAAGGCCTGTGGTATCCGATGCGGTCAATCTACCAATCATTTGCACCCGTTTTTTTGAAACTAAGTGAAAGGTATGCAGTATCTATATACTGAGGGATTCTTCTAAACCCTGCTTTAAGGTTGTGATTGGCTCGGTGGCCATACCAATGTTCTGTACAAGAGGCCCCCATTTTTATCAAGCCAGTGCTTATACTTATAACGTGGTTCTTTTCATAACTAATTTCCGTTCCGTCTCCTCTTGGAGACAATTGCCGAAATTTGTCAGCCCCCAAAGCGTGCATCAGTGCTGGCTCACTCTATTTTTTCATTCTTTTCGCGAAATTCAGTCCGTCGGTCTTGTCGAGCCCTCTTAGCTTGGGTCATAGTATGGGTGACCTACAGGCCGATCGAACTCAGTCTTCCCTGGCCTCCTCTAATGATCACATGCCTTCTCCGTATCCGGACTGCCAGTCCGGGCAGATAAAGCCTCTCTTCTACTCCGCCGCGAGTGTTGTCGCTGAGTCTGGCCGCTCGCCAGCCCTGCCTCTTCCAGAATTAGAGTCCGATGCCCAACAAGGCGGCCCGACTGGCGTCGAACCGACTCTCGGAGTTTGCCGCGTCAGATCCGATTCTTCCGAGGAGCCTGTGAGTCATTTTTATTTCGGCATTCACTGACCAATCAATCGCCAACGATCATCTCCGCATGGAGATTGTCGTTGCTTTCGCTGTTTGGTTTACTCCTCTTCAATTTGCTACTTTGATGCCCTTGTGCAGACTGGGCAGCATAAGCACTTTTGGGACGGAATACTTTGCGCTTCAATGTTTTCCAACTTGGGAATGCAGGCTGCAAGTATGTCTCGGAGACCGATGACAGCCTCATACTAAATCTTCGCGAATCTGATCATCGTTAGTAACAAAGGCATGTCGCAGGAAGTAGAAACATTACTCAGATTTTCTGCTGCACGTGGTTGTGTAGAAAGAGTGCCTTGAAGAGATTATCCGAGTTAATTTACATCGAAGGCACTTTGAGGTGCCCCTTCCGTGATGCGATTGGGCTGACAAAAACCGAGTTTTTATTCAAAATCGGCTGGTAGCATTGAAACCAATTCAATATCTGTATAATTGAGACCAATGTTTTATCCTTTAAAGGAAGCGATGCATTTTTGATACTGGTCACTGACATTTCCTCCTAATTACTAAACAGGAATTGCTTCGAGTGAGGTTGGTGCTCTTTGTGTGACTGAACCTGGAAGAAATCCTATCGGCCGTCCTATTTGCACCGATTTTTACATACATAACACACATGCATACATACAGAATGGATTGTGATTTAAGCTTGAACGAATTTACTTACTACTCATTTCCCATGATAAAAAATTCCTTTTGTGTCCAAAGGGGGCACTTACGTATTTGTCTATATCATGCCAGTACCATCTGTAAGACTCGGACCCCAGATTTGTGTATTTGGATGTGGACTCTTTTATCCTCTTTCATCAGCAAATTACAGAAACCGTGTCTTTCAAAGAAAAAACAATCTTATATCGATCATATGTACATAGATTTTCTCTACTGTTCGGATGTCATTGGTCGGGTGAATTTAGATTCGCTTCCGGCAAACGCCAAGTGGAAAAGGTGATGATGGTGTCATACTATATCGTGTAATTACCGACTCGTTTAGGCTTGAAAATGCATTCTTAGGACGCAGTGTTTGCGGGTACATTTGGTCTTATTCTTAAGGAGATAGCTGCAGCCAGAAGAGGGTAGCACACATCGGAATTACCATATTGGGGCACCGGTTGGTCTACTGATGGGCATAAAAA